CTTGAGCCACATCCCCAGCCCTATATCATCATCTTGATATATTTTCCTCCAATCATTTCCCCCAGGCCTGTTTCTCTATGCCATGCCCTCCCTTCTAAATATAGCATATCTCCAATTCTGTTTCCTATTGTGAGTAGTTTTCCCACTTTTTGATAACTCTTTGTAGGGAAGTAAGGATGTAGAGACAGAGCAGCGAGCCTGTGTATCGCTGGGAACGCGTCTATACAGGGAAAGGAAGCGACTGTTCCAGTCTGTGTCTTAGCTAGTTAAGGCAGCAGAATGTGTCATGCTAGTCCTCTTTCCGGAGTCAGCAGTGGGGGTGAGGTGGAACCGTGCCTCCTCTGTGAAATGTAGCTGCTTGTAAGTGAACTCACTGACAAGTAATATCCAATATAAAATATATCAGTGTCATAGCTGCTAAGTCTTTATTTATTACAGTATTGTACAGTAGCATTGCTGTCAAGTTTTCAGGCCGCTAATAATGCTTCTAACCCTGCTGCTAACACCTCATTCTTTCTTCTATTCCCTGCTCTCCTGTCTTCTGTCAGAAATAAAGATTTCAGACATAGGTAAGCCAACCAGTGGAGAATTCCCTGTCTCTCCCCTGCCTTGTTGCATGTTGTATGGTAAGCTACACATGTCAATTTCAGATGGCTCAATGGCAAAGGAATCCTGTGTGATTGGAACGGATCGGGGATAATCAGTGGCAATAAGAGGAAGTCATTAATAATGGTGGCGGTGGGTGGCAAGAGCCTGAACTCTTTGAATCCATGGCAAAGTGAGGTGGTTATCCTATAGTCTGAGGACATGACAGATAGAAGCAACAGGGGAAAGAATTTAAACTATGACATGGTAATTTGAATGTCACAGTCTGCTTAATTCTCAGCATAAATGAGGATATCACTCAGACTGTGCCAAGTGACTGATGGTCATGATGGAAAATTCTGAAAACACATTGATCAGGTGAAGAATCTGAAATTTACACTTCTATGGACATTCCAGGTACCATGGCTTTTGGATCATCCCTGTGATCACTCCACTGGTGTGATCTAGCAAGGATTGAGCAGGCCACAGGGAATGCCTTCAGAGGACAATCCCCAGATAGGAACTTTGTCACAGAATAGGCTTGTCATAGACTCGGAGTGGCAGAGCAGCCAGCAGGAGTGAGTCTAGCCAGACACAAAGCAAAGTGATACCTGTCATTGTGGCCTTTGTCTACCTCCTAACAGAGTCCCCTGCCCTGCACACGTTAGGGTGACTTGAAAACTAACCACAAGCAGATAGAGCTCTGGTTCAGACAGCCACAGAGGTGGTGCTGAGCTATCCACATGTAGCTCAGTTCAACATGGTGCATGGGTGGTGCTAAGTTGGGATAAAAGAAAGTCTTTGAGATGATGAACAGAGCCAGACAGACCCTAGTCCAATAATTATTAGATCCATTTCTATACAAGTAGATATTTTATATAATAATTGTGTGTATTCTTTTAAAATAATAATAATTAACATGTATAGAGCATTCACTGTGTAGCTGAAAGAGTAGCATTTTGTCCCCAAACCATCTATGAGGTAGATCCCTGTGAGTACATCCAATGTACAGAGGAGAAAACTGAAGATCCCCAACTGGGTGGTCTTGAAATAATTACCTCATTTCTTGAAGTTCTCATTTCTAAATTGAGGTTATTTAAAATCCCCCTCAAAGGGTTGGTGTAAGAGTCACAAAGGATGGGGGATGGGAGTACATCTCAGTTGGTTGGGTGCTTGCCTTGCATGCATAAGGTCCTGGGTTCAATCCCCAGCACCACACACACAAGAAAAAAAGAGTCACAAAGGATGTTTACAAAGTATAGAACATTTTCAGGCATAAGGAGGTACTCAAGAAATGGTCATCATAGCAGTAATGATGATAACAATAACAAGATACATACATTGTTAGTATTACTAATATAACTTATAATTAAATGATGATATTATGATGACACAATGATATCGTATTATATGGTGATGATTGTGATGCCTCCATCTTTCCCAAAAAGGAATTGAGTCCTCTTACACCCAAAGACACATGTCTTAAAATTAAACAGGGAAATGGGGACCAAAGTCAAAAAGAAGAAAGACGTCTATGATTGTACCTCAGAGTAGACTTGATTTCATGGCAGCAGAGCAAATAAATAGGAAAACATAGAACTACATTCAGGATTTGCATTATCAGAAACAGAAAATATGTTCACATCTTGGAGGAGAAATGTTTTTCCTCACACTAAAATCTGAGCTATTCTATGAGATTTGTATAGAGGATACTGAATTACACATTGCTCTCAACTTCAGTTTTGCAGAACAAAAGTACATTTCCCATAAAGATCCTGGATTAAAACATAGCATTTCACACTGAAGCATCAGTCCATGGTGGAAGCTGGCTGGAGAACAACTGAGACACAGGTGACAAGCTAGGAAATTGGGGGCTATATGGCCTTGGGCTGATCACCCAGCCTTTCTGATTTCCAGTCTCATCCTCTGTAAATTCAAAGAGCAGTGGTTGGAGTCTCTTTTGTTTCTAATCTTCAGTGACCTTTTGATATTCAAAACTGGGTTCTTTCCCTCTCTCAGTTCATTGTTTTTCTCAGGTGCTGAAAACTATTTCTAAAGTGAGCCAAAGTGGAAGGGAAAGGGAACCACTTTGTGTGTTCCAGTTTTCCAAAGCCTATCAGGAGACAGAAATGGTGATACCTGAAGATTGGCAAATCCCTTCTGCTCTCTGGACCTCAGTGTACCCCTCAGTAAATATTGAGATAGATTAAATTCTAGAATTTTGTCCTCTAGAAATTTGTCCTCCAGTAGCTGCCTCAGCTGCTCTCAGTAATAGCATTTGGCTGCACAGGGGTGATGTCAGCTATGCATACGGGTGTGCACTCCCCAGGACAGGCTTATCTCTGCCTTTGGCTCTTTGGCCTCAGTGCCAGCCCCCAGGCTCAGCATGTCCAGGACAAAGACCCATAATCCTT